GCCCATGTCCTCTTTTGATGCCAAGATCAATTTTGAGAACATGACTAAATGCCTGCAGATCCTGAAGGAGAGGTACTGGGACCTGATTAACCAGGATATTTATTGCAATAACAAAGCAGAATTCAGAGGCTACCGTGTCCTGCTCCGTCTCAACAAGAGGGATATTCTCAGGTGAATCTTTAGTTCATTGTATCTGATCTGTTCCTTCAAGAAAAGTTAATTCTGTTTTGTTCATAGCACATCGATTAAGAGAGTGTCTCGCTGTGGTATTATCTGCAACGATGTACAATAGTTGACGTTCGTAAGGATAGGCAGCAGGTTATTAGTACTTGCAATTACAAGTTTGGGACTTGGGCCGTCGGACACAGCTGCCAGACAAGTACGCTGAAAATTTGTGGGTGGGGAAGAAGAGACTAAGGCCACAGCACTTCAGCCAGCTTCAGGATGTACGTTGAGATCCCGATCCCAAGACTGAGAACCAAAGTGCAGAACATCAACTACGGTAATTCATCATTAAGGCTACGTTTTAGTCACGGGTATTTCTAGTAAAAGTCATGGACAGGTAACGGGCAGTAAACAAACATTGATGGCCCATGACCTGTCCATGACTTTTACTATATACCCCTAACTAAAACTTGGGCAGGGGGCCGCTGGTGCTCCGTGAGGGGGAATGGTCGAGGGCACCACGGGTGCTGGGGGAGATGGCCCGGGACTCCCACTGGTGCTGGGGGGGAAGGGTTGGCGGGGCTGACAGGGACTGAGGACACAAGGAGCATCTGCCCCTCCCCCAATCAGGTGTGGGCTCTGTGTGAGCAATGCTGCCATTCTGCTTTCTAGAAATGGGGAGGGTGCTGGGGTTTAGCAGTGTCATAGGGGAGCAGTCTCCGCCCTGACTATGCCACCATCTGTGCTGGAAAATTAGGTACACTTCTACCCCGATATAACGCTGTCCTCGGGAGCCAAAAAATCTTACCGCGTTATATCAAACTTGCTTTGATCCACCGGAGTGCGCAGCCCCGCCCCCCCTCCCCCCCCGGAGCACTGCTTTACCGCGTTATATCCAAATTCATGTTATATCAAGTCGCATTATATCGGGGTTGAGGTGTATGTGAACATCCCTTGAGTGTCTGCCCCCTTCTATTCATAACCCTCAACCCCTGTCATTCCAGTCCTGTCCCTTCCCTTCCATTCCTCTGTCGGCTCTTCTGTGCCCAGGGGAAGAGGTGTAGTCATTGGGGTATCATCAACAGCAGCACCGCACACCCTAGGGGTCTGAGACCAGACAAACAGGTTCCTCTACCATTTCCATGTACCAAGAGCATGTGTTCCACTCATCTATGCCCTAGAAAAGCAAGTGGACTGGTCATCTCTGAGTAGGAGCCCAGGCCTCACTTTGTGTGCATGTCTATTTGAACCAAGACTTGCAGACAACCTGTGGGTGAAGAACTCAACTGGAGCGCACAGCATTGTGAGTTATCTTTCGTGTGCTCAGCCCCCTCCAGTGCGATGAGCTCCGTGGGACGTCCTGCACCAAAAAACTATCTTCAGGGCTAAAATCCCAGCTGTTCCTTTAAGAGCAAGTGATCTCACAATGGTGTGGGAACATTCTAAGGTTTCCTGTGGGCCTTTCCGAGCCCTGGGACAGGTGACTCTTGCCTTGCTGAGGCTGTCTGCTACAACTGACTCCACCAAGGACAAGGAGGATGACAATGACAGAGGATAACGAGTGGATGAAGACAATTCAGAACGAAAATGCATACCTGAAAAATCAGGTTAGGTTGCTCCGGGAGAACTATGAATTACGTTCGTTACTGAGTCAGCACTATGAAAACAGCAATGAAGGGCGAATTGTCACTTCCCACCCTGCTCCCGTGTATCCGAATGCCAGCTCCCCAGGACAAGGAGGTAAGGAGAACCTGGAAGATCTGTCTTGTTTGTTCTCTTGAGTAATGGCCCTCTAATGCACTAGGTGAGACCCCTGGCTGAGCTCCCCCTAGTGGAGAGTCCCCACGTTGCTGTGTTTGTATCCACCCACTCGCTCTCCTGTGCACTGGGTCTGGGTAGAGTCCCCTCATTGTCGCAAGCTCTGGGCTTTTAGGCTCATGCACCCAGCGTGCATATCCTCTGTCTAGCCCCTTCCTGAGATACGGGATTCTGCAGTGCCACTACCTAGGCCCTGAAACCAGTGCCAGCTCTCCCATACCTCCCCGGTCACTACTTTACGCTCCCCAGAGTTCCACCAAAGCCGCGGACCCTCTGTGCTACTGTTTCACCCTTTGGGGAGGATGTGACAATTAAAGCAAGGGACACACAGGCTTTGCTAAAACACTTCTTTTTCCACCAGCCTAGTCTTGTCCTGTGGCTCTCACCTCTCCTTTGCAAGAGAAAACTCCCTTCTAACAGCAGATTCTAATGCCTTCGTCTCTTCCTGTTCTTCCCTTGAGGTTTTTTCCATTCCTTGATCTCCAGTGTGCTGCGACAGATCAGTCATCAGCAAGTCAGTAGCCTTTGGATAGTCCTCTCCATTGTCCTGCTTGGGCAAGGTTATTCAGTTGTTGATGGTTCTCAATACCTGTCCCATTCAGGTACCGGACCCTCTCACCTTAACACAAGTGGGATGATGGAAGAACATCTCTAAGGATGTAAATAAACAGAACTCATTAAATCAATCTGAAATTCATAAGGTCACATGGACAGACAGAGTCCCAAACTGTCACACAGTAATTCTCTGGCAGCAAGCAAGCTGTGTGCGCTCTCACCCAGACACGTGATATGAGTCCTTCACTCCATCTGACCCCCTCCTCTATCAGAAACTGGGTCTTTGTTCTTGCTAAGAGAGAGACACTACGATGATGAGCATGGTATATGACCCTATGCAGATAATCTACATGAACAATGCACCCAACATCTCCCTTCTAGAGGTCTGTGGGTCTTACCAGCAGATTATGGCACCTCCAGAACATCATTGAGCAAAACTGGGAGGGACTTAGACGACCTGGGATTCCAGAATCCTTTCTGGAATGGATCTGTTACCATGGAGATGGCCAGCCTTGTCTGAGGAGGTCTCAGTTTATTTTGCAGACAAGACTGCCCAGATTCATTGAGCTGTCTACCAAGCAATCCGCTTTACTGACTGCAATATCACACGTTCTAGGGGTGGGGGAGGGAAAGTGTCACCCCCTGACAGATACAGTGAGAGGTTTCAAAGATCCCTTATCCCCCAATCAGATTCCTAATGTGATTTCCTTCAGCAATGCCCAACCCCTTCCTCCCCCCCCCCCCCCCCCCAAACTCTCTCGCAGGTGTTCGTTACTCCAAGGTGACCTGCAGGAACGACAAAGATAGCGAGGGCTTGTTAGAAGACAAAGCCAGATGTTCATCTGGTGCAAACCAGCATGGTTCCATTGAAGTCATGGAGCAACATTGGCTTACATCAGCTGGGTGAAGATCTGGCCCAGAATAGTGTTGATAGGAGGATCATTGTCTATCATCCAGACAGATTATTGACAGGGTGCTCTGTTGTGTCTGTCGTTCCCAGGAGCGCCTTAAATCAAGGCATCTGGGAGACTGACGACTGAGGTGGGGAACTCTGAGCATTACTGCCAATGGCTGCTCTATACGAGTATAAGCTTAGTGCTCATTGGATTACCATAGTCCAGTCCCTGCATGCTCTGGGCTCTGTGTAAAACCTGGGCATCCCTTCTTTGGTCTGAAATCCTCCTCAGGAATCTGGAAGAGATGCCCCTAGCCTGTTACATTCCTCCCTTCTTCCAGTGCTGAGAACTGGCTGCTGTTTGTGAGGTCTGGGCAGTGTAATAGATCTGTGGTTGTGGGGGCTCCTGGGCTCATTCTCAGGGGCAGGGCATCTCCACCCAGCTGTAGCACTGAAGCCAGAGGGCCCGTTAGGGAGGGTGTTTTCATCATCACTTCCCCGGGGGGAATTGGGCTGAGCCCCAGAGATGGGTGTAACAAGGCAGTTGTTGTGCCTGCCCTGATACGTGCCATTGCAAGTGATGGGCTGATGTGGCCCGGGGAATGCCCAGCTTTGTCTGTGGTCCCACATCCCAGAGACATATTGCCATTGTTCAGAGCCGGCATTTCTGATCTCCCCCTCCCCCCCCCGAACAGCAAAGCCCTTTCCTCTGCCTGTTGCTGCTGCAACATTGGTCCACATAAACCCAGTGCAGCGTGTTCTGTCTAAGGCACCGTCCCTGGACAGAAGGGCACAGGGACCCAGGAAACAAGTTTCGCAACACATGCCCATCCCTTAGCCACGTGGTGTAAGGTGGACACATTCTTGTCAGCCTGTTTAACACATCCTTAGGCAGGAAGGGCAGGCCTTAAAGAGAGAGAATACAGGAATTATCCCAAACAAGCACTCAGTCCTGGGGATGGCTGTGTATGGGGGTGGGGAGTTCTGTTCCTCACTCTCCTTGTTCCATGGACTGTTAGTAACAACTCACTAGCGAGGATTCCTGGCCACACGCCCGTCAGAGAAATAACCTGATCTGACCTGTTAATTTATTTTCTCTGATAACGGCCCCGCCAGTAAAAAGATTCCATCCTGGTGCGACAGGGTCGCCCTCCCTGTCTTTTCAGATGACCCCCACCTACCTCAATCTTCTCTAACCGTAACACCAGCCAATTGTTGTTTGCTTTTCCCCTCTCTCTCTCCAGGAGAGGGCGCTGCACTGTAGCTGTAACACGCGACTGTCTTTTCACTCACTGGAGCTCTAGCTTTGGAAGTCTCTATCTACCCGGGGACACGACTGAAGGGGCACCAATAAGGTTCACTGGCAATGTGTCTGAAAACACTGCCCTGCTTCCAAGCTCTGGCAGGCACATGGCACCTCCCATGGGGGATTCAGAGTCATTCTAGTGCCAGAGAGCAAGAGACCAGCCGTCAGAGTAAAAGCCTTCGTTTGAATGGTAACACCGTATGCTCTGTTCTCTGTTGTAGCCCTGCCTCACGGAAGGGATATCAAGCCACCGGAGAGCCCAAGTCACCTACACCCTTCGCTGCTGCAGGAGTTCAGTTATTCCCCTCTCCACATTGCAAATGAGGAAGCAATTCTGTCCAGCCCCAAAGCCCAGGCAGAGGCTACATTTAAGGGGATTCCCAATAATCCCACTTTGTTTCAGCCTACACCCAGGGAGAGGAAACCAATCCTGCTTTCCAGCACTTCCTGGACCACCAGGGTGGAGAAACAGCTTCCAGAATCCATAGACCTCTCGAGGTTGAAGAAAGTCTGCTTCACAGACGTCACTTCACCTGGAGGAGATAAGGCTCGTTTATATGGGATGGGTAAGAACTGACCCCTCTATTGTAGCTCAAGATTTCAGGGAGCTCTCAACATCCAGGTGACTACAGTAAGCGATTCGAGTGGTGTCTGTGCTTCTCAGGATCAGGTCATGAGGGCAGGGGCATCAGTGCTGGACCAAGGGACCATGTCCTCTAGAAGCCGTGGCGAGCCCTGAATCCGTGATACATGGCATGTAGGTTTGTGTCTCATATGGGGTTTTTTTTCAGCTGATACGGCTAGTCCCTTTCCTCTTGTTTTGGGATGAACAAGTTGCTTGTGGCAGATGCAGGACATAAATCTGGACTGCGGCACAGTGTGTCCCCTGACTTCCAGGAAAACTTGAAAGGAGTCAAAGTGAGGCGATCCCCTTGCCTGACCCTGTGGCCACACGCTTACACTGGCAGAAATGTTAGTGCCAGGAACCCCCCAAACCAGCTGGCTCTTGGCCCCAGACTGATTTCCCACCAGCCTCACCCCAGAGAGGGATGCACCCAAAAGGACCACAGAGAAAGACAAGATGGAGAAGGGGTCAGGGCTTACCCTGCTCTCACCAAACCCTGCACTCTCCAATTACTCTGCTCAATATATCCCCACCAAACTTCCCAAATACCCTTGTCCTTAGCTATGGGACATTCTATGAGAGCAGTGACTAGAAAAAGCCATGGAGTTTTCCACATGCCACTGACAACTCTGCCAGTGCACCTCAACTCTGACCTTCTCACCACCTGTTCTTCCAGCCAAAGCTCTCTTTGAACAAAGAAACCCCTCCTGAGTTGTGTCCACTTATGTTTGTGTGAAGAGAGCTGGGCAAGAGGGTGTGTTTCCAGTTTTGAATGTTGTCTGATAACCTCTAGAATCAACACTGAGATCCCCAAAATGAGAAGCACTAAGCAGGCACTTGGATTGACATTCATAAACACCTAGACAGATAATCAGAGCGAGGCCCTCTAGATTTCTAGGGTCCTCTTCACGGGAAATCTATATGAAGCCATGGCTAACTCTGATCCTATACCCCCGTTTTGCTTTCTTGTAGCTCACCAGCAGCACGGAAGTGTCCTCAATGCACGAGACCTTCTGAGTCAGCCCCAGCCATCGTCCCTGGGAGAATTTGTTTCCTCAAATCCCCTCAGCATTTCAAACAAGGAAGGGGCCCAAGCACAGCTTGTGTTTCCAGGATACTTCAAAACATCTGAGCCATTTTCCCCAGGAATTCCCCCAAGGAAGCCAGTCCCCCTTATAAACAGCACACGGGATATAGTGGGCGAGAAAATGTCCCTGGACTCGGAAGAGATGCATAGGAAAAAGAGAGTCTGGTTCTCCGAGAGTCCAGGAGGAGATGAGCCGCGGAAGCCCCATACCTATTATTTAAACGGTAATGATGTGATTTCACCCTGGCCTTGCTGCTAATAACAGTAGCTAAGGATGGCTTAACTGACTCTAATCATAAGCTATCTCTGCAAGCATGGGGGAGTGGGGGCTTTTTGATGCCCGAGCGCTTGGCCACACTAGGATAAAGGGCATCTTTTAAAACTTGATCACCAACATTTTGCATCTAAGGAAAGGAAGGAATGAGGAGAGCAGCAGAATAAGGACAATTGATTTTTAAAAAGCAGACTTTAACAAACGCAGAGAACAGGTAGGTAAGGTCCCACGGGAAGAAAATCGAAGGGAAAAAGTTTAGAAGAGCTGGCAGCTTCCTCAAGGAGACCATATTAAAGGCACAACTGCAAACTATCCTGATGCAAAAAAAAGATAGGAAGAATAGTAAGAGTATAACGGGTCAAAAAAGAACTTAAGTTCACCGAGGATAGGTCCATCAATGGCTATTAGCCAGGATGGGCAGGAATACAAAACCATGCTCTGAAGTGTCCCTATCCCCTGTTACCAGAAGCTGGGAATGGGTGTTGGGGGATGAATCAAGGGATGATTACATGTTCCATTCATTCCCTCTGAAGGACTTGGCATTGGCCGCCGTCGGAAGACAGGATACTGGGCTAGATGGACCATTGGGCTGACCCAGTATGGCCATTCTTATGTTCTTAAGAGTCCAATATGGCTCCATCAGGAGCTCTTTAATGACCTAAAAATCAAAAAAGAATCCTACAAAAAGTGGAAACATGGACAGATTACTCAGGAGAAGTACAAAAGAATAGCACAAACATATAGGGACAAAGCCAGAAAGACTAAGGCTCAAAATGGATTACACCTAGCAAGGGACATAAAAGGCAATAAGAAGAGGTTCTTTAAATACATTAGTAGCAAAAGCAGGATGAAGGAAAGTGTGGGTTCCCTACTTACTGGGGAAGGTGAACTAATAGCTAATGACATCAAGAAAGCTGAGGGGTTTAATGCCTAATTTTGCTTCAATATTCACTAAAAAAGGTTTAATGGTGACCATATACTCACACAATTAATATTAACACCAAGGGGGAAGGAACACAGGCCAAAATAGGGAAATAAGTTATAGAATATAAATTAGGTCTATCCAAGTCAGTGGGGCCTGATAAAGTTCATCCTAGGGTAACTTAAAGAACTAGCTGAAGCAACCTGGGAGCCTTTAGCAATTTAGCATGGAGGGTGGGTGAGATTGCAAGGACTGGAGAAGGACAAGCACAGTTCTAATCTTTAACAAGAGGAACAAAGGGGACCTGGGATATTATAGTCCAGTCAGCCTAACTTCGATATCTGGAAAGATACTGGAACAAATTACTGAAAAAATCAATTTGTAAGCACCTGGAGGGTTATAGGGACTACCTAACATGGATTTGTGAAGAACAGATTATGTCAAAACAACCTAATTTCCTTCTTTGAGAGGCTTACTGACCTAGAGGATAAGGGAGGAAGCAGTAGACTTGATATACATTGATTTTAGTCAGGCTTTTGACACAGTCCCCCACGACATTTTCATAATCAAACTAGGAAAATATCTAGATGTACTTCTTCCTGCCTCAGTGCAGGGGGCTGGGCTGGATGGCTTCTTGTGGTCCCTTCCAGCCCTACATTTCTAGGATTCTATGTTTTAATTAACATGTTTCAAAGCCCTAGTGTACACAGGGCAAGCATGTATTTTAATGTGTGTTCATAAGGGCAAGGTGAACCTGGGGTCCCCCAATGTGATTTTCAAATACCTCTATGCTACAGAGCCTTTGTCAGCCCTGCTTTATCACTACAGTATGCTGCAGAGCCCCCTAATGCAGACACCGCTCATGCGGACACAAGGAGTTTTTCTGCTGGCATGGTAACATCATCTCCCCATGCGACGTTGCCTATGCTCACAGACGCACTCTTCTGTCGACATAGCTGTGTCTACACTGGCAGTTCTGTTGCTGGGGGGCATGTTTTTTTCCCCACCCCTGACTGACATAGTGATGCCAGCAAAACTTTGTAGTGCAGCCCTGACCCTAGTGTGGCTAAGCCCCTCTGGAAGGGCAACGGGGCTTTTATGGCTGAGAAAAGCTCTGAAAGTGACCTGCTTTTCTCCTTGTACATGTATTTATTTCCAAAGTCCATTTCCACATGTATTTACATAACCAATCCATTTAAGGAGGCAGATGTTATCCAGTTCAGACATCGCACTGGGAAGTCAGTGCTGTGTTTGGTTGTACATGTGCGCATCTATGTACATAACGTGTGTGATTATATATTCTTTCTCCTGCCATGTGGCTCAAACCAAGCAGTAAAACTTTAACCTGAATCTAAGCATGGTGAAAACATTTGGCCTTCCTGCCTTAAGTTACTAGGTAACTAACAACCAGCTTCTCCTTCATATAGAGCTTGAGCTGAACAGCAAGAAAAATGGCCGCATAGTGGGTGAAATTGCCTTCCAGTTAGACAGGCGCATCCTTGCATATGTGTTTCCTGGAGTAACGAGACTTTACGGCTACACAGTGTCCAACATTCCTGAGAAAATCAAACAGGTAAATCCTTCCTTGAATCTGCTGAGGGAGAGGATGGTGCATAGAGCTGGTTGGAAATTTTCCAATGGGACAGTCGCCATTTGCTGAAAGCAAAATGTTTCATGGAAACGTGTCGTTTTTGGTGAAAATTTATTTAGAAAGAAAAATAGAAATCAGCATATCCATCGGGTTGAAACGGACCATTTCAGAACAAAACCTTTTTGGTTTTTTTTTTCCACTTTTGAAACAAATTTTCATTTCAATTTTTTAAATTTTATATTCTGTTGCATAATATAGTGTTTTAAAAGTCAGAATCAGAACAAAGCATTTTGATTTTGACAAAATGAAAGATTTCAGTGGAACCAAAATGAAATTTTTAAAAAATAATGTTTTGCAGGACACTGAATTTTGTGTGGTTTTTTTTCATTCCACTTCAGAACACAAGACATTTTGAAATCACAAAATTCCCTGCTAAGTGAAAAATCCTGTTCCCACCAATTCTAGGTGTGTGTGTGTGTGTGAGTGAGAGCGCATTCCAGTGGGACTCTGAAAATCTGAAATGCAGCCACACACCAGCATTGAAAATTTCCTGGGCTCCCAAAGGGCTTTTTGCAGTGTCTCAGGCTTTGGTGCATTTTGGTCTTAATCTCTCCGAAATCAGTGAGAGTTAGGCACCTAAATACCTTTTGACAATCATCCGGGCCTCTATGTCTCAGTTTCCCGTCTGTGAAATTGGGGATAATAATCATTCCTTTGCTCGCAGGAGAGTTGTGAGCTAGACTCATTAATGTTTATGAAGCACTGCACTCATAATACTCTGAATGCTACAGTTATGCTTATTGATACATATGTAACCCTTCTGCCCATCTAAGTTGGCAGCAACAAGGGCCGGGTTCTGTATCTAGGGGTTCCATTTCAATAACGCAATGCAAAACCGGCTCGAGCCCCCACCAGTGACCTGGGACAATTACATACCACCCCCTGGGTGCCTCTAAGAGGCAATACTTCCCCTCTCACAAGCACGGAGTCTGAGTGTAGCAGAAAATGTTTAATAACATGAGGTAAATGACATCAGCATTAAATTGGAAAACCACCACAAACAGGATTCCTAACACAAACCATGAGCAAAAAAACCCCACCCCAGCAAATTGGGCTGTGTCCTTTCCCTTTGGTTCTTGAATCCAGCAACCCAAAAATCACCCAGAGTCCCCAAAGTCCAACAACCCCTCAAAGTCTCTATCCCTGGTCAGTGCAGCCCCAGAGTATAAGGGGGGGCATGCAGGGTGTTAAGGGGCACCTTACGTGAGCCGAGGCCGTCCGGCCGTCTCTCCGTGGGGTTCTGCCGCAGCCTTCACCACAAGCCAGTCCACTTCCTGCCGTCCCACAAACCGCTTCGCTCCGCTCACCGACCTGTGAGCCTCTCCAACTGTCCCCGCAAGGCTCCGTACCGCTCGCTGCTCCTCCAGTCATCCCCACAAATTGCTCCGCCAGCTGCTTA